AGTTTTATTTCTAACATAATGAAGCATTCTCTGAAAGAAGTAAATGTCTCATTCGATTGTTCGTTGAATTATTACGCAATTCAGTGAGTTGCGATAAGGCTTCGGTGTTACGAAATATGCCAGATCACTTTATTTGGAGCTATAGTGTTTGGCATTACGGTCGGCCGATCCCGACAAGTTAACTATATTAAACGCTGATAAGAATTAAAACAATCCATTTCAGTGGAATAAATGTTATTGATTTTGGAATGAGGCGCTCGTTTTTCACCTTATCTTGATGTGAAAGAGGCCATGGCATCTTATACAGAAATCAAATTCTCTGACAACATTAGGTATGCACTTTGTGCTTTAACCCTAACATGGATGAATGCTTTGAAGGCAAAGAAATCTCTAGTCCTGCCTTCAGTGCCAGGCGTTCAATGGATTTTTGTTGGTTTACGTCATATCAATGTTATTTCCAACTCTTTATTTTATTAGTGAAAAAAAATATGTTTTGTCATATTTGGATAAGCTTTGTTATTCCCCTCTATAAACACGCACCTATCAATTGCATTTATGATTCCATAAACGCAATTGCTCTTGGTCCAATCACAGGTTGTGGCAGGCTCTGACATTGAGAATTTGACGCATAGTTTTTCAGTCGATGAACAACTTCTATTGTGAATTTAACTTTACTGGGCGAAGGTAAACGCAAAATTTACAACATGATACAAAATTAAACGGTTGAAGAAAATGTGGTTGGACAGAATTGAAAAAATAAAAACTATCCTTGGTTCAAATCAAATCAATGATAACGGGGGAAAATACACCTTTGAAAATATGGCTGTCTTTCAACAATAGCTTATGTTTTTTCTTGCGCATTCGGAAATGAGGATTCTAAGTGGAGTTTCGCCTTAAATTCACTTGCTACATTCATAAGATATGGTCTCCAAAAGCGGGGTTCCTTCTTTCTACTTTGGGTTGGTATCTGTGTAGCTTTTTACTTTGCCGGACCGGGTGGGGGTGGGGTGGGGTGGGGATGGGGGCAGGGGTTTCAGATATCGAAGAATTCATTGCCATATTCTTTCCAAACATAAACCAAAAATATCGAAAAATGTTTGACGTGGTCAGCATCATGAATCGCTGTATGGATAATTCTATATTTCTTTTCAAGAAAATCCTAATGCATCATCCTCTTAATGACATTAGGAAGCGAACAGGAAAAAAGTTCTTGTTACGAAGTAGCCAAATCAGCTTATTATTTAATGATGTAGCACTCTACATGATGCTAAGCATGCCCCCCTCAGGGAAATTAATTTTGTGCTGCAATTTGGAAGTCCCATCAAATCTTAGAGATGCAGGCATGATTCAATCATGTTCTTTAACAAATTGATTTGGAAAACAACATATACTGGGAGGCAAAACATTAAGAATTTTGAGCTGCGAAAATGCTTTGAGTATAGTAGAATTTGGAAGTTTGAAGAATTTGCTTTGTATACACACATGCCATGCACAAATATTGAGAAACAAGCAATTCCAAATTTTCTTCATGCCGACGGTACGTTTCAAATTTACAGTAAAAGATGTTCATAATATACACTAGCAAACAGTATAGTTGTCATCTCTAAAAATTTGTTTATTCGAAGGGTGATAAGAGGCTGAATAATCTTTGACGATTATCAAGTATTAAAAGTTCCAAGATATGAGCCATCTGTACACTGTATGTCATGAACGAATTCCTTTAGTACATGTACCTTATTAAGGACATACGCAACGTAGTTTGAACTTTATTGTCTTTTCCCCTGGAGTTGAAGAGTTCCAATACTTAAAGGAACTGTATGCTACATTTTAATGTCTATGTATGCCATTGTACACTTCTTCGAAAACAAGTTTGGATAAACAAAACGTCTTGAATATATGTTAAGTAATTTTTGTATATTTTCTTTGAATTACACAAGAATTTTCATCAATTGATATCTTTTCAAAACCCCTGGTAATGCATGTTGATTTTTTGTCTACGAACATCTGATGGCACTATAAGCTTAAATTAAGAATATCTTGAAAAATTATCAGTAGGTAAGGTACGTTCCGTATGTCCTTAAATGTTTTACCAATTCAAAAGGTCACCCGCGTGGCGCAGTAGTTAGAGCGTCTGCTCCAGAGTCGCGGAGTAAGGAGTTGATCCTTACGTCGCGGGTTCGAATCCCACTGTGGGACGAGGAGAGCGGTCCTTCGGATGAGACCGTATAAACCGAGGTCCTGGCACGAAAAAGATCCCTCACTGCTCATTGGCCCTTAGTGCCAAGTATAGGTCAAAACTGGCAAGTGGTGGTGTCTCCGTAAGAGTGAAAAATTCTCGAGAGAGACGTTAAACAATAAACAAACAAAAACAAAACCAATTCAAAAGTTTCAAAATTTTCTTTTTGTCAACAACATTTTTTTTTACGTTTCTCGGTTTTAAGATTTCTTTTTTAACATAAAGAATTATTGCAACAGTGGAAATTGCTATTACTGCGGACATTTTCTTATTTTTCCTTTAAGAGGGAACGAGATTTAAGCCCCACTGCTTTATTCATCACAGATCGCATTGAAGACGATATATGTATTCATATATTTGAATTGTCACCATATACACCTATAATTGTTTTTGCCACCAGTACCTCAACCCCCCTTCTCCATCAAAAATATTTTTCACTCCTTGTTAGTCCAAGATTTAGAAACATTTACTATTTTTACCAACAAAATTTGCATTTTCTTCAAAGATGTTCTTACTTGCGAATGTTTTCTAAACTTATGTATTCACTTCAAAAGCTACTGCATACTGCAGACCACAAGAAAATTACCATTTTTATGCAATAACCCACTGTCGAGCGCCATATGTAATTGGTCTCAAACACGGACCAGCAACGACATGTTTCTCGCCAGCCCTCTGATCTCATGGAGAATGGTTATAATTGATTTACGGAAGAGACAAATCAGTTTTATTTCGTGTCCAAACAATTTCCAAACCGATTCCGATAGTTTTTCTCGGAACCTTGATGACAGAAAAAGTTTATGAAGACCATAAAGCGTGCTTGTAAATAATTGGAGGCTGTATATGAAAGGAAGGGGAGAGTAAATTGGAAAATCAATCCACGGTGACTCGGAAAAATGCATTGATTTCATTTTAAGACTGTTGAAATAATTGGGTTGTCTTTTGAAACAGATGGAGACATTTGGCCATTTTAAGGCTTGAAATACAGTATACTGTGATTCTTCTTTCACTGTACATGACTGACATATGCCCCAGTGAAAGACCAAAGCTGACATGCCTTACCGACATATGTCAACATACACCTGTAGATTAATCGTAATACATGATATCGCACTAGTACACTATCGTACCGTAAACCTTGCAATTTCTATCTCAAAATTTTGTTTCCTCCGACATGACACTTTAATCGAAAAGGTTCTAAATGCCGGGAAACAAATACTTAATTTCTGAATACTCCAAGAAAACTACTATTTATTAGTGAAGTCCCCTAACTCTTTCAAGAAAATACACCATTACTCGTGAATTATTGTTAAAACATCAAATTTAGCTCTAAATTTTGTTTGAAACACCAAAATGACTTTTCCATGCAGATTTTAAGAGTTACTCTTTTTTTTTTTGGCACGCATGGTCACTTATTTTCACGAAACTTTGTCCATCATTACAACTTGACTCGAGAAACTTATCTCAAACAAAATTTGGTTGCTATGTATCTTGGTTGCCATGGTAACAGCCGGGAAAATTTGAAAAAAAATATGAGATTTTCAGCTACATGTAATTTGAATATTTATTGAGTCTAAGAAAACCGAACAAACCACTCTCACAAAAACTCTACACCTTGTTGCCACTTATGCTACATTGTATAAAGAAACTATTTATTTGTTGACTATCAAAATGAATGAATGAATTATTACGTTTCAAGACTTTGTTTCCATAGTAACGTATGTGATACTAGTAGTTGGTTTCCCAGATACGTTTATCATGCATTTAAGACATTAAGTCTTGAAGTAACATGTTTAAAAATGCTATTTTTCAATCTGTATTGCATGTTGCCGTGGTTGCCATGAACGTAACAACTTTTTGTCTGATATAAAGACTTTTATCTTACAGAGAGATTCTGGGACTCTGTGTGTCCTGTGATCTCGCGGGGTCAAATATCATAGTACATTTGGAAACATTTCAACACAGGTAATGCAGTTGACAAATATGAACGACCTATCAAATCCCATTCCAAAGCAATCACCAAAGCTAAAACTTTTAAAAATTAGATTAAACATGAAGGTAAATGGGTCAAAGTCATAGCATGCTCAGAAACGTATTGTCACAGGTAATGCACATACCAAATATGAAAGCCCTATCTTTTCTCAATCAGAAGTTATAAGCAAAGATAACATTTTTGAAAAGAACGTCAAACTTCCAAGTTCAAGGGATCAAAAATCATAGTATATTTGGAAAGGTCTTGTCGCAGGAATGACAATCTCTTCTCATTCATAATTTATGACCAAGGTTAAAGTTTTTGTGACAGACTAGTGACAGACGGACAGACAGACAAATGAGATTTAATTTACCCTTGCTTTAGCGAAAGCAGGGGACAAAAACACATCCTCTACACATATCAGATGATGGGGTCCAAATTGTGGTACATAAAGAAAACGGCAATTAATTGGACATTATGATGTGGCTTCAACCTGTGACCTGATGTGAAACTTTGACCTTGATCATACACTGTCTATTTTCTACATCTAGAGTAGTTTGACCCTTGACCTTTTCACCTAAAAATCAATAGGGGCCATCTACTCCTTAGGGGGTACCGGTGTATACCAAGTTTGATGTCTGTCAAGCAAAGAGTTCACAAGGTATTGAGTGGACAACACTTGGTCTACCAAATGACAGACAGGAAAACCAAAATGCCCCTTTTTTCAAGTTGGAAATAAAATATTAACATGGCATAGATGTAGATATTTTCAGTATTAAATGCAGTTTATTTAATTCATTCAGAATCAAAATAAATTCACTTATCTTTTTCTATCAATTTAATTGTATACAACACATGAATTAATTGGTTCCATTCACAAGATAATTTGGTACAAAAACCATACCATTCATTCTTAAAAATTCAAGATAAATTCGTGTATTGTAGACAACAGTATAACAAAAACCTCAACAAGATGATGTACAGCTACACAGCACATACTAATTATAACCACCTAGGAGTAGGATTCTAAACAAACTAGAGGCTAGCTAAGGTAATGACGCTATTGTCAACATGTACAACAGGGGTCTCAAAGTTTTTAATTTTTTTCTTCAAATAAAAGTACAATTTTGGGAAATTAATTGAAATATACCAGGTAATTCTTGGCCCTTTTTTAAAGTATGAATACTGTAATGCCAATTGTAAGGGAGGTAAGCATATTTCACCTGATAAGAACAAACATGTACATTTGTATACTTAGTATACAAAACATAGCACTTTCACCCCTATTAGAAATAGTATTTTTTAATATTATTTTGCAGAAACAAATATACATGATTGAATTACATAAATTTGTGTCTTAAAGTCATTTATTCTTTCTTGGTCAATAAAATACATTTCTGTTGTATTTATAGCATGATATGTAGTGTTTTTATGTAAAAACAATTTTTTTTCATAAAATATATCTAAAATACAAACAATATCTTCATTTGGATTGTGACATTAATCTACTACAGCATAACAAAAATAGATAAATAAATAAAAGAAGACGAAGAAAACCTTGAAAATTAAGATTTTCCTATCACCCGGAGATTCTTTACAATGAATGATGCAAATTCAGATCATAATTGTGTGTACAGTAAAACACGCTTATAGCGAACATGCTTATAATGAATAGACGCTTATAGTGAAGTGATTTTCATTTCCTATTGGTTTTAAAGGTATTGTTAAGCTATACCGATATAACAAATTATGTTTATAATGAAGCAAAATCGCCCGTCCCTGGCACTTCGTTATAAGCGTGTTTTACTGTATTATCTGCATATTTTCACTGTATTTTCTTTATTACTTTCAGTTAACACTAAAATAAAATTTAAAAGATTTGACTTGAAAGAAAAAGTTCAGATAACAAAAACTTTCTTTTTTTAACTCAGAAGACTTATATTAATTACCAGTAGTACTGGACGTAATAGGTGAAGTGAACTTAAAAAGCCATAGCTCAGATAATAAAAGTATGGAACCTTTGTCCTGCATAATTCAAATGATTTTAAAAATTCAGAAAGTGAGTATCATACAATCCTGTATGGGTATCCATATTTATTGCAAATTTCAGCATATGAAACTATGACTGAATGTGAGACAAATATTATACCATGTATACAGTATCTCGAACTCATTTTGGCTATAAAAAAAACTTGGAGATACATGTATATGAGGATTTGAGATATTGCCATTAAAACATATGTAGAAAAATAGTTGAGACTTCCAACTCACTTTGTGGTATTCAAGATACAGAAGTTCAAATGTACATGAATTTGCTGATTAATTTTCACTTCACTGCAAACGTCCACTACAATGTAAATATATTTACAACATTTTTTTTTTCCAAAAATGACTAAAAAAAAAAAACAAAACATTGTACAGATATATATGACTACAATTTCATATTGCACATGATTCGTCCATACAACAAAGAAATAGAAACATGGAAAATCTTACAAAAATATACGACCCAAGCTACCACTGTATGAATGAAAATTATAAGTCACTAAGAGAAAGCAGTTAGCATATTAAAAAATTTACTATGTCAGTAAAGGTTAACACCATAAACTTAAACAGTACAAGAATACAGTTGATAACGATAAAATTCACCCTTTTGTCCAAAAATAATACTGCCTTGATATAAAGAAATAGTATAAATGCATACACGTATATACATGTACATGTATAAATGCATATATATGTAAATATACGCATCAACAGGACATCCCAAAAAGGAAGCTCTTAAGAAATCTCTAATCTTAAAAAGTCAACAGAACTTTATTTATGTATGTTATTCCTCAGATTTATTAATTAATATTTACCGGTACTATATGCAATGATAAAAAAGCAGACTTTTTCAACATGGCACTTGAGAAATATTCAATCTCTTGTTTTTAGGCAGAATTTCTAGAACATTTTAAATTACATCTAAGTACAAAGTAGCATTCTCCTTTAAAGACTCCTCCTGAAGTAAATAAAATTTCTTGCACAATTTTTTCAACAAAAGAATCACATTCTACTATCACATCAGTGAAATAAAATTCTTGTATTGCAATTAAAAAAAAAATTATCAAAAAATTGAAGACATTGCTCAAAGGACAGCCTAATAATTATATCCTATGATATATATACACTCATTACAAATACAATAAATACAATCATACAAAAACATTTAATGTAGACATGTATGTGTAAATGTATAAATGTATGGCACTATTACAGACAAAGAACTTGGTGTGACTAACCATGTAAACAGCCTGATTATCCCCCCCCCCCCCACACCACAAAAAAATTACCTGCATCTCATTACACGTTGTATCAAAATTCATTACTTCATTTGAACAACCGATTTCATTTCAAGAATGTTACAAACCCATTTTTGACACTTACTGGAAAACTAATGCACATGCTGTTGCAGTCATTTACAGCGGTTTGCCAGGTAGTAGCAGATTTAAACTAATAATTCCACAAAATTTACAGTATTTCACCATCACAAAATGTTTACCTACTACCTAAAAATAATCTGAAGCAGGCAGTATAACATAAAAAAAAAGCAGCATTTAATAATTAGCTAGTTTTACAGAGAGTTGGACTTTTACGTAACCATTTGGTCTATTGGATGGGAGCAGATATCTAGGGCCCATCTAACATCTGAATACTGATTCGACAAGCTCCTTCCATCTTAATTAAAAAAATACTCTTGATCAGCCAGGTTTCTTCCCATCATGCACTGGTGCTGCGACCACTAACAATGCCAGTGTGAGAAGGCATCAATGGGAGTCATCCATGAGACGTAGTGAGATCATTGGAATCACAACTATAGTTCTGAGTTATCTCCCCTTCTCTATGGTCAGGTCTTCAGTTTTGAAGCCTCCTCCATTGCAGTAAGCCATCTGTAAAATAAATCATTCTTTTATAATGTAAAGGGGAAGGGGTATAACTCTGGTAAGATACATTTATATATTAGAGTCAAAACATATCATTTAGTGTAACTTTTACATTGCATGAAATTTTCATGAAGTGATTATGAATAAAATTCTTTGGTCTCTTCTTTTCAGAAAAGAAGAGACCAAAGAATTTTATTCATAATCACTTCATGCACTTAAACAATGTGCATTTTTGTGGAGAATCCAAAGGAATCTCAATTGAAACCTCAGAGTTAGATATAAATATAATTTTTTTGTAAAAGTCAATCACTCTATGAAAAGTGCAAATCAAATACTTAAGTATAAATTTTCTAGGTGATCAATGAAGTTTATAACTACCATAAATTTAATAATTATTGGCCATCAAACTTACGTGACAAGTCTGTGTGATTTACACACGTCCAATAATTCACACTAAACTTAAAATCATTCCTTGTATTTACATTTTACATGTTTAAATGCATAAAAAATACACTTAATGTTAGAATTTTTCGCTGCTCTAAATCGTCATATTTTTATTAACGTCTCTGTAGCCTCATTGTGACGTCACTTTAGCACGAGTTTCACCGTGTATATTTCTACGTGTGAGTATACAACAAAAATGGCTTTCAAATCAATTTCACAGTTGGTTTAGGAGAGAAACACAGCAAATGTAAATATATATTTTTAAGTAAGGTGTTTTACTGGCTTTCTTTTCCCTATTCTCTATAATATGTTTTACTAAAACTCTATCCACTATAAAGTGTTTATTTTTACCTCTGTGTTGTGGCTTCATCCTCCGAGTGGAAAATCATTGGTGGCTGGTTCTTGTGCTTCATATCAAACAGTAAGTTGGCTGGTACACCCTCAAACACCTGGAATCATTGAAACATACGTATAAAAGATTTATTAACATAATGTGCTGCCAAGGATTTTCAGTTCAAGTTTTAAGTCCACTCTGCTCCCAACAATTGCAAAGCTGTTTTACAGCTATCTAATTTTTTTTTTTACATGACAAGTAAATTGAAAAGATGACAAGAAACATTTCTTAGAAAAATCATGATATTTCCTGTAATTATACAACCCACCCTTTGTCCAATCATAATTCCATGAGGGCTATTTTTTGCAAAATTATTAGCTTATTAAAAATTTGACATCATTGTACTTAAGACATTAACATCCTTCTTATAAATGCAAATCATCTCAAGATTAATCATTCAAGAAATAAAGTTGCCACCCTCAATCATGTTTTAACTGACAATTTTTTTCTACTCTGTAAATGTACTCTAATAACCCCTCAGATGAGTAGCCACATATTACAGAAGCTTAAACACTCATTGCTATGAGAATCTACATGAGAAACATTACCGTAGTGTAGTCTCCAATGTCATAACCCACAACACTGACACTGTCTGTCGCATTCACATCCTACAAACAAACCAGAAGTACAAACTAAACAATTAAGTACATGTTTAAACTTCAGCTGTTAAAGAACATGTCTTTTGTACAAGCAAATCCTCACCATTGAAATGGGGGGAAAAAACATTAAAAAGCATTAAAAATTTAAAGCAATTAATATTAGCATTAAGCATTGTGATGCCAATAGACTTTAATGCAAATACAGTAAAACTTGGTTATAAGGAATCCACTGGTACTTTGAATTTTGCTTCATTATAACTGAGATTTCCTTATAAGAGAGTTCATTATAATCGAGTTTTACTGCATAACTGTTAGTGCACTTGTAAAGCTATTGGAAAAAAATTATCTAAATCTACTCACATTATATTAAAAATAAATGGTGTCTAAACACAAAAATATTAACATTACAAACGCTATATATACCTGTACATGTACTGTGCATTTAAGTGATAGTTGAAAGTGTATGGGTTTATATTTTGTTGCACCCTCAGAATTTTCAAACGTACACACATTAATTTTAGCTGAATGTGTTCTAAATTTCTGCTATTTAGTCATACCTTCAGAATCATCATATGTACAGCCTGTGAATTTTACCTTAATGTTTCTAAATTTCTGGTATTTAGTCTTACCTCAGAAGCCTTAAATGTATAGAGTACATTGTCCTTCATCAGGAACCAGTACTTTTTCCACTTTTTCTCTTTGTGCCACTTGAATAAATATCCACTTATGGTGGCTTCTGGGTCATTGGCATGCTAGAAAAACATGGGAGGGAAATTATACCATAGCATTAATCACTCTTTAAAAATCTCAAACTTCTTTCATAATTACATACATGTACATGCAACTGCACGTCAAATTTTTTTTTCAAAAATACAGTATCTTCAGAATTTCTGATCATTTATAATTTTAATTCTCGTTAAAAATAATTCTGATAATTTCAATTATCGTTAAGATTCTAAGTCCTGTTTCTTGATAATCTGAAGAGTTTCTCAAGCAGGTAATATAATCTTTTGGTCTGTCTCGACTTACAATTTGCAGTCTGCTAGGTCTCTTAGTGGCTGGTTGGTGAGTAAATCTGGCACTGCGACGGATCTGACGAAATCTCTCCTTCAAATTCCCAAGACTGAGAAATGAGCCATCCTGAGCTTGTGTGAACTTCTCATCAATCCCATGTACTTTCTCTTTCTCATCCAATGCTAAAATAAACAAAGCAAAACCTCTATTTCATTGTATGCTAAGGGAAGTAACTCAAAAAATAAATGGTAGATCAGTGTCATGCTTCTATATTTGCATTTTCCACCAAAATATCTAGATGTCAGAGGAAATGAGGATACAATAATGTATATATTACGCAAACTTTACGAAATAAATGGGTTTTGGAAAAATCTCATGGTGAAAAATTATGTGGGTCCTTTTTATCAACATTTTACATAGGAAACACATATATATGGAGAATTGCAAAAACACTGATTTGACAAAATCAAAAAAGGAAGGGTGGCTTGGTGGGTTAAGTGTACCCTGCTTTACCATTACACTGCTCAAGAGATCTTGAAAAATCCAATACAAAAGCAAGCAACCTTGCAAATGTCTTTAAAAATGTTTAGCTAAGTTTTTGTTCACAGTAAATAATTGCTTTTACATCATATTTCACTAAACTGTATCATTTTGCCCTGCAAAAGAGTAGTACCTCAGTTATTGTGAAACAGTCTATAGCCAATGGTTTCCAATAATGTTGATGACATTGGTGAAAAACTTAAACTTACCCTCTCTGAGTTTCTCGAAACATTCATCACAGACTCTGACAGGTTTGTTCCTGAGGTACTCCAAGGGGGCTTTGTTATCAGAGCAGTTAGCGCATACAACCTATTGGTAAAGATGGACAAAAATCACAGTAAAATTTGTCATTCTACACACAGAGTGGTGATTACAAATTTGTAAGCAATCAATTACAGAAAAACTTACAGAGAAACGTTAAATCCACCTTGATTCATTTACTTATTAAATACAGTTGTACTTCAATGTCTCAAACATCAATATCTCGAATACCATCATGGATAAGTGGATATATCAATTTTTCAAATTCGATTTTTAATATAAATACCTCAAATCCTCAGATATTTGAAATTTTTTTTTCTCAGACAATTGGGGTTTGACTGTACTATATCTGTGAGAATTTGTTTAAAATTTTTCACACTTCTTATTTTCTAAATGGGAAAAAATACCCTACCCTTCCACAGGCTCTACAGTGATGGCGCCTCCAAGTTACAGAGAATTCTGATGTACAGATCATACACATCGTAACCCTGGTGTCCGGGATCCAGATCGGAGCCTTGGAACCCAACTCGTAGTTCACGTCATAGATATCATAGAAGGACTGGAAAATGTATGTCACAAGCAATTAATATCAATTCATCAACAAAAAGCCTAACCTTAATAAATTTTAACATACAAGTTATTACTGTGCTTTTAAAAATATAAATTGACAGTTATAAATGTAGTAATATTTGACAAGACATGAAACTCGAAATCCATTTCCCACGAGTCCCAGAGATACTTAGACAAGTCTATGAAAATTAAGGAAGCAAACACTAATTCGAGACACTACACACAGAGTTATTATTACAATAATGATACCAAGTAATTAGCATTAAAGAATTCTATTAATTTTGTGATGTTGAGAGTTCTCTCTCTAAACCAAAGCACTTCACTGAGAATAGAATTTTTGGAAAGAAATCTGTCAAATACATGTATGTGTGCCTCATTAATTGTAAAAACAAAGTAAAGGATTTAGTCTGTGAAATGAGGTCAAACATGACTTTACAGATACCGAAATATCGTTGTGTTCCGATTCACATTGGGCTGTCTGAAAAACATGCATGCAGAAAGACAATGCCAGACTGAGAAAATTTAATAGGATAATTTTTTTTTTTCAAGTTGTACATGTACTGTCAAACCTCATTAAACTCGATGGGACCAAGATAAACTTTGAGGTATCAGTGGGTTCGAGATATCAAGGGTAAAATACTTAAGAAATACGTGGTTAGGACTTCTCAATCACTTCGACATATCCATGGTATTCCAGATATCCTTGTTTGAGATACTGAAGTTCAACTGTATTTCATTTATTAGAAATCTGGAATATTCATGCACATATTATTGAGGGAAATAACAGAATACAATTGAACTTCGTTATCTCGAACACCATTATCTCAACTACCAGGGATATGTGGAAGTGATTTGGCAGTCCCAACCACTTTTTCTTTATGTTCTTGAATCCTTGGATATCTCAAAGTTTAATTTTGGTCCCTTCAAGTTTGAGTTAACGAGGTTTGACTGTATAAAAGAGCAATCTCTGTACCTGTCCTCCAGTTTTTCCGTTCTCAAATGTGTTTCTGCGATGAGCCTGATCATCAATAGCCTTCTGTAGGGTGTCTACCCAACTGTCTCTCTCCACCTGATTTCTGCATAAAGTCAAAAATTCAGTTCAATTCCAGTTCTTTCATTTGTACAATCGATTAAAGAGATGCTCGGCACCATTGTTGTACTACCTCAAAATGTGAACTTAATTTCAGTGGAGAATATTCCTTTCACAGATAAACGGTGTTTAATTTTTTTTTTTTTTTTAAAAAGATACATATCTGTATCAGATTTGATTTTAAAGAAATAATGTTAAACTTATTAAGTTCAAACAAAAAACCTCTAACTGAAATATTTCACACAAGTAGCCTCCCTTATCACATACACATTAGTAATGTATACTTACTTAGCGACCACCATAAAGGATCGCTGTATACTAATGATGTTAAACTCTGTCTTCAGATCATCTCTCTTGGGCTTGCTTACCTATAAAAGAATCAGGGATTTGAAATCATATAAATAATTTGTAATTATAATATAATATAATGTAAATTGAATGCATCTACATGTATATTGAATGGAGTTTTTTTTTTATTAAAGGCATGTTTTTTAAAGTTTTGTGTGTGTTATTGGTGTGTAAATCACAAGGACTTGTCATCTAGTTTCATGAAATATGTCGACGTGCAAGTCTGTGTGATTACACACCAATAATTCACAAAAAACTTTAAAAAATTCTGTTTACATTTTACATATTTAAAAGCAGCAAAAATACTCTCAATGCTTGAATTTCTCGCAGCCCTATATTCTTATATTTTTATTAATGCCTCTGTAGCTCACTATGACATCACTTTAGCAAGAGTTTCTCTGTGAATATTTCTACATATAAGTATACACGAAAATGCCATTCAAATCAATTTCATGGTTGATTTAGTTAAAAAAAAAAAACCACACCAAATGTAAATATTTGTCCTTGCTTACTTTCATTCCCACCAGGGTCAGTGCATTATTAAATTTGTAGCCTCCCGTTGCTATTGGTGATGTGTACAACAGAACATCATTAAACTGGAAAAATAAAATCCTATTAATCTTAATACATGTAAATGACACTTTTATAAAATGTCAGAAATTCAAAGCAATCTGCAAATGTTCTACAGTAACTATAACATTTCATGCACTGAAAATCTTTCAATATTTCTCACCAGAAAGAACATTCTTGGTTGCATTTCTTTCCGAGACAGTTTCATCAATTCTCCTTCTTTCAGAAATGTCTGAAAGAGAATAATTTTGATGGTGAAAATCTTGTAGACCTATGATATTTTTATCAACATATCAAATCTTAATGTGCAGTCATCCTCTGGATTTTTTATTTTGATATATTTCATCGCACTTGTACTGTAAAATCACTGATTTACGTGGGGTAAAAATTTCTGTGGTTTGAGGAAAAAATATTGGTTCATGTGGATTTGAATTTCATGGTTGTAGAGGTCTTTAATGGTTTTTATTTCAAAATCTACATTTTGTGGAGAACATAAATTTGTGGGTCTCTTCACATCACAGAAACAACAAAAAATACCCAGCCACAAAAATAAAGGATTTCTCAGTATATGATGGAGTATGTTTCCAGTTAAGTTATTTATAGCTATTTCAGTGGAAAATGATCAGACGCTGTGTTTCTCTGCAGTCAGAGATCAAAGTAAAACATACCCTGCCCGGCTTGATGACTTCATAATTTCCCTCCACAGATTTCTGGATCTCCAACATCTTCTGAACATGATCCTGAAAGAACATTATTTGTTCCTCATTATTTATACACATATACAAATCTTATGCTTTTTTTCCTCTCAAACAGAAAATTATTACAAGGAACATTTGAAACTTTGTTCATTCTGTTCATTTGAAGAGTAAGCTATGAGGAAATTTTCTATTCATTATAGAGCTTTACATTCGACAATTATGTAACATCCTGTCTGTAAATATCCTTTTAATAATTACAGAAGTCTTTCTTGAATGTTGACCAAAGCCATTAATATACAGACCCCTTGTCTCATGCTCTCATTGGCATGGTCTGCAACATCAGAAACAATCTCTAATGCAGCTGTGGGAGTGAAAAAAAGAACAAATATAAATCTATCAAATTTGAAAAGTTTTGATTTTCTTAGTGTATGCATGTTCAGTGTACCATCTGTTTCTAGGAGAATTTAATTATCAAGAAATTTAAAAATCTGTGTCACATGCTTCAACACGAGGAATTCTTAGTCGGTACATGTATGAAGTGTAATATAAATATGCACTTATTTAATAAGTGCATCATGAAGTATTCATTTTAAAATGTCAAAAGGGTGCAGGAAATCGGAAATGTCAATGAATAAAGCTTTAAAAATCACAAACTAATATGAAAATTCATCCTGATGATTACATCTATAATTATACATTTCAGGGATACATACAAATGTATATCTGAAATCTGATTTAAAAAAAAAATCTTACAATGTTTGAAAATATATTACATGTTCATTTCATCTGTACCCTTAATTCTTCAAAAGTTAATCATGTCAATAAAAATATATTACATTTTACAGAAATCAAAAAAACAAAAACAAAAAATTGATACCGGTAAATCCCTCAAAAGGGGCACATATTTTCATTGGTTCAAACCAATAAATCACAACTAAATATTATCTGTCTACACCACACCCTCCCTGACTCAGCTAGGTCATTCACACTCCCTTAAGTGGCCCCTTCCTCTGATATTCTCTCCCTTAAGTGGCCCCCCCTTCTCTGACACATGTAGATGACCTGAATGTCCCCTAAGTCACTCACCACATCACTATGAAACCAGACTTCCTTGCCCTTAGTAGGTCAAGTGTTACATAACATAACTACCGTTTTAAGAGTAATTTGTCTTATACTTTTACATCAAAGTCAGAAAAAAAGGATAAAGCACATCTTATACTCCATTTTGGTCAATGGAGTGTTGCACAGTAAGAGCCATAATTGTTTCCTGACATGCATATTTCTCTATACCCTCTGTAAAACTTCTTGTCAGAAAATCTTTCAAGTATTTCAAGGGCTTTAAATGCCTTTTGTATGAATATCCTTACATAATATTTCATTCATATCTTAACCAACACATTGCAAATATAAACATTTTTTTTCTAGTGTTCTGTTACATGTACATTAATCTTAACTTCTAAGGAAGCAGAAAATGATATAGTATGCAATGCTATGCATTTCTTATGCTTAATTCACAGGCCTTCAGATTGCTTTTAGCCAACTGATATACCAGGGATATTATATATATATATATATATATATATATATATATATATATATATATATATATATATATATATATATATCCCCAGTATGTTAGTTGGATTGAAGCAATATGAAGGCCTGTGGCTTAATTGAGATTCAAACATACAACAAATAATCCATTAAACATTAAAAAACGCACATCTTCATTTTTGAAAAATATCAGTTCGAAGTGACAATTACTTATGCATATTTAATCATTTATAAGGAATAATAAATGCAGCTTAGACTTAAACAGACAACAAATATACAGAATTTGAAATCAATAATGAATGATTGGAAAAAAATTGTCAACCCATACAAAGAACAGCTGGACATATTTAATTTTGTATGCAGTGTGCAGGTGCTCCATGCAAAACATTTTTATTACATGCACTACACAGCAAAGTGGAATGATTTGTATGATTGTGAATGTTGCAATGGTATACTTCAGCTATAATGTTGAAGCACAGTGTTATATATTACGATTTCATGCACAAGGTCAAACTGATCATTTGAACTGATCACCACGACAACATGAAATAGTGATTTTTAATCAGAATGTCAAGATTAGCTGATTTACATTTCTTTGTCAGTGAAAGTTTTTAACTCACATTAATATTGCTAAAAATATCTTGAACAAATTCTAAAAAAAAATTTTTTTTTGTTTCTGAACATATTTTATTGACAATATGTCAAAGGGATTGGAAAACAAATTCCAAGAACTTATATAGTCCTCTCCCATATAAATATGTGGGGAAAAAATCCTTTATGAATAAGATGTGCTTGCTCACAAATGATTACAAATTAAGCAAAAACTCTGGTTAACAAGAAAAGAACTGACAGAATGTAAGATATAATTAAAAATTCTTTTCAGTATCAAGTTGTAACATGCAAGTACGTGCTAGAAGTCTTGTTTAATGTAAATACATTTTTTTTCTTACAACTCAACAACATGTTATATACATGTACATGCAATTTATTATGAATACCCTGCTTAAGTTACAGCAATCTTTTTGTTTTAGAAATTTTTTGCTTAAAAATCATTCTACCTCACACAAATCATTTGATGAAAAATGAATCAATTATATTTCAATCATTTTCAAAATATACTTCAAAGTACAATAGTATGTGTATGGAGTACATGTACAAATATCAATTTATAACTATGAGTCACAAAGCCCTGAACAGTAGACAAACATGACTTAAACACTCACCTAAAGTGTTGTTATAATCAGGCGAATCGGAGGTTAAGTGTTTCCGATAATCTAGAAACAAAAAAAGGGGAAAATATATAACGTTTATTACATGTATTTGTCATTTTGAGATTTTATTGCCTCTGAATCTTTTCATACAAAATTACTCATCTTTTTTTGTCTTTTTTTTTTATCTGATTCACTTACTTTTGATATAATTACGAAATTTCAATTACCCTCGTCAGCAATGATAAAGAAGTATGTAACTCATTATTTATTGTATGGTAAACACAAATATAGGGCTTCGCAATACTATTTTCTGCCCGAGATGAACTCATTTAAAATATAAATGTACCAATATATATAAAACCTGCAAGTGCATTTTAGGAAATTATCATACTTAAATATATTTTCTCACAATTTATCAAAGAACAGAATGTTATAAAATAACAAAATAAAACCGAATTATTTTAGGTAGAAAGGATACGTAGGTTTTACAAAATCTGTCATCCTTGTAGCCATTCACAGCATACCACCTTCTAACCCCAGGGCCAGATGCATTTTACAATATGCCCTACCAAATATAACAGTAACAGGGTACTCCATGGTCATTGTTATACTAGTTACCTTGCAGCAGTAGTCTATATTGAGGTATTCTCTGTATGGGTTTTAACATGTAGTGTTTCAGGGCCAGACTAGCACATCTCGGACTTCTCTGTAACAAAGCAAGACTATATATGTACGTGTATAATAAATTAGTTCTTGTAAGCTTATTAATTAATGCAGTACATTTCATACTTTCTATTTTCTACATGCGTTTCTGCATATTGTATAAGTGGAATTTTTAGCCAGACGCAAATTTAGCAATTTTTCATTAAAAATAAGTATTTATTTTTAGCCAGAATTAGTTTTAGTGATTTTATGGTGTATAGAAAGATAACATTTACCTCTTATGCAGAATAAATTGTTAGCAATATTTAATTTTTAGCGATCTCAACACCCTCACTAAAAATGCCAAAATTGTATCCTCACTAAAATTTCTGCTTATACAGTATTAATAACACTGCTTTAAAATACTGCTGCAATAAAAATTAACAAGTATCTTCCGAATTCATTTTAAAGGAAATCTTTTGCACACTACCTAGTAATCCAATTTGCTCTTCAAATAACACCAATTTGAAACATAATATACTATCTGGATATAATATAATAAATGACATTAATTTCTTTGTTTAATATTCAACTTTAGCTACACACCTCAAACTGTTTGACTGCTGTGAGAAATGAAGGATGTCTTTTACACGCTTCATCCAGGATCTCATTGGCTTCTGAAAAGTCCTTAATGTAAGAGGTATACAGCTTCAGAAATGGTCCCTTCTTAACGAAAATGTCTGCAACCTGGGGTAACTCATCCCTGAAAAATGAGGTACTTTTCATTAGAAGTAAATATCATTTTGAAAGTAAAACATTAGAAAACTGCAATTTTTAACTAAATATTTTTTTGTCTCCTCCTAAATGCTTGAGCAAACACCATTCCCATGTTAGGAAGTTCTCAGAAAGGTTATAATTTTCTAAAAATTCCAAATTGTCATTTAAGATATGGACACTACTGAATATCAAACGATAAATGCTCGCCTTAATTCTGCCAAGTCAGAATTAAGGTGGTGGGTGTGGGTGGGTTGGTTTCCATTTTTGAGACATAATAATATCAAATTAATATTATACCTTAGTGCTGTGTCTTTACAAACATATAAAAAAATCTACATATAAAAAAAAAAATCTATTAAACCACAGTTATTGTTTTAGCAGTGGTACTTAATTTAACATTAAATCTCTTGCACATATTTGAGCAAATGCCAAATACCAGTATAGTGCTTTTATGATAAAATTTGTAATCTGTCTGAAAACCTATCTTCTCACTAACAGGTATAAATCAGCTGTTAGATGTTTTTATTAATTTGTAGTTTATTTAAGACTCTGTCTTACATAATCCAATTAAATTTCTCTAAGATACATGAAGAAGTGTGCACTTGATATGCTGAAAATCTGCACAAATTTACAAAGATTACCCACTGAAAGTAACAACTAAATATACAATTCACTGTCTCATATGGATGTACCAACCATCAAAATCATAAAATTTATTTGAATTTCGTTTACTTATATTTTATCACATGAATGAAAATTCAGCTGAATTTGTGCATGACCTGTGTTTCAGATGAGCAAGTGTGTCTTTCCACACACAAGTCCAGAAACCTTTGACCCCCCCCCCCCCCCCCACACACACACACACACCTACCATTTGGCCAGCCGCTCCTGTAGGTCTTGCAGCAGTTCCTCGTTTAAGTTCTGTAACTGTGGCAGGTAGTTGAGGACCTTATTAAGGATATCATTAGGAATTACTGGTTTACCATTGGCTTCTGTAGCTTGAGAAATGAACACTCGAAAATCCTAAAAATACAGTGGTCAGATATAACATTAACAACTGAATATATGTATAATACAAGTATATACATGTTTCTCCTAAGCTGATTTAACAGCAGCTTCACATAGGTAATTTATGCTTTTAGTTTTAATCGTCAATTATTATGATAATTTACAATATGTACATTTGTATCAAACTAGTGTCCAAGTTCTTCCTTTTAGTTAAATCTACCTGGTTTACTTGTGTTGCTTTTCTTAAGATTAAATAAATAAGATCACTTTACGTTTACAAGCAGCACATTAAAACACTTCACAACTGAAATACCGTTATGATCATGCATTGTCAGGAATGCTGTTCAAAAATTGTAATAGAAAAACACATTGTGAAAGTAAAACTCCAGATCCTACAAAGAGTCATGAATAAGAATATTGTTTTTTAAATTCATATTTATTTCAGGTTCCCCTCCTTTTCAAAGGGGGGGGATTACAATTTATTTGTGTCTGCCTCTACTAAAGTCCCACCCCATCCCCACCCCCTCCTTTCCCACCCCTATTCCTGAAAAAATTGGAGTGAAAATTGCAGCTTGATTTGTAACATGTTTAGCAGCTTGTAAACAATGTATGGTTGAAAATAAGCTAAACTTTTTTTAAAAAATTTAATGTATAACACATTTTTGTAGTTGTTTGCAGTTGCAATTCAATACACATTATTTCTAGAAATTTGCAATCCCTCTCTTTTCATTCTTCCCAAACTTCTTGGAGCAAAACAGAAAATTTCTCACAAACAGACCCTGGTACTGACCCCCCTGTTTACATCTAGAGGGTATCCTGACTTGGAATATAAACTTACCACATTCAAAAGCCTCAAAACATCAACAAAAACTTCCTCTGACGAACAGATCTCCCTGGCGATGTGAAACACTTTTTTGGCCCGTTTTCTGGCAATCTGAATTTACAGGTCAAGTTCTTTTAAACAAGTTGCAACACAGAACAGCTCACAAATTAAATTCTGTATTTACAAAACCAGCATCCAAATATTCTAAGAATTCCATTTGCACTTGGAATGTTATAGAGGAGAAACAACATTTGAAATAAAAATAAATTGGATAAATGATACATAAATAATGAAAATTATTACAACTAGAAACACATAAAATAACATTCAGAAACATTAATAATGTATTACCTCTATATTCATAGCTTTACAAGAAATTTTGTTGTTTTTTTAATATCTAGTTTCCTTATTTACCTATATTAAATATATGATCACAAATACATAAAATTTGGATTTGCCTCTACAGACCGAGAGTAAAATACTTGTAAATTTGTATTTCCATGAACATGATGAACAAGGAAATAGGACAACAAAGCATTTAAAAAAAAACAAGAGGCCTATTGGCATGGGCCACTTCACTCATCTGAACATTTCGGTTAGAGAAAGAAGACATCAGTTTAGAATTGAAAAGTTTAACAAGAGGCCCAAGGGCCTTAACGGTCACCTGAGTACAATACAACAATTTAGAGGATCCATAAACTGAAAAATGAAGCTTTGTTGCCCAAAAGCAAGAAAAATAGTATGATTAGCATCAACAAAATAATTGGTCTAGTATCTATCTGCCTATCTGACTTTCCAAGTCATTAAATCTATGAAAGTACATTTTCATTATACAATAAATTATCTTGCATAATTCTCTTATTCTATTAAGCTTTCAAATACATTATTTACATTGATTAATTATCAAAGGTGAATGGCAAAGGGGAATAACTTTGCTCAGCAGAATACAAGTTAATAGAGCCCTGGCCAGGACTAGAACACTTGACTAAATGGTCCAGGTGTTCAAAAATCTGGTAAAAATACCCTTGCATATTAAAACTTTTACTCTGTTTGCCTTGAACATCCCCAGAAGCATAGAAGATTTTCAAAGAAATGCATTTTCACCATAAAATTAAATAAATAAAGCCCCATCCTTACCCAGAACATCTGACCCACTGGCCACGAACTCACAATTCTGGAAGAAGCACCCTTTCTCATTATAACTATACACTTGTTTCTTTACTTTATAACCAGTAGTAGAAAAAATATTTTGAAAGAAATTATGCATTTTCACTATATATAATCAATAGAGCTCTTTCCCCCTCACCAGAACCCCTGACCCAAAGGCCATGAGGCATTCTTCCTTATCATAACCATGCACTTCCTTTGTTTGAAGAATACCCAGGCGCACATAAGATTTTGAAAGAATTCATGCCAATTCCCTATCTAATCAATAAAGCCCCGCCCTAACACCAGAACCCCTTACCCAGAGGCCATTAAATTCATAATTTCTGAGGCAGCCATGCTCATCATAACTATGTACTTAGTTTATTTAATATCCAGGAGCAGAGAAGATTTTCAAAGAATTAATGCAATTTTACTATATAATCAATGGAGCCCATCCCTAACACCAGAACCCCTGACCCAAGGGCCATGAAACAATTTCTGAAAAGGCAGTCATGCTCACCATAACTATGTTCTTAATTAGTTTATTTAATACCCAGGAGCAGAGAAAAAGATTTTCAAAGAATTAATGCAATTCTACTATATAATCAATAGAGCCCTGCCCTAACACCAGAACCCCTGACCCAAGGGCCATGAAATTCAAAATTTTGGAAGAGGCACTCTTGCTCATCATAACTATGTACTAAGTTACTTTATTTAATGCCCAGGAGCAGAGAAGATTTTCAAAGAATTAATGCATTTTAACTATATAATCAATAGAGCCCCACCCTAACACCAGAACCTCTGACCCTGGGGCCATGAAATTCACAATTTTGAAAGAGGCACTCTTGTTCTTCATAACTATGTACTTAATACCCAGGAGCAGAGAAAATTATTGCAATTCTACTATATAATCAATAGAGCCCTGCCCTAACACCAGAACCCCTGATCCTGGGGCCATGAAATTCAAAATTATGAAAGAGGCACTCTAGCTCATCATAACTATATACTAAGTTAGTTTATCTAATACCCAGGAGCAGAGAAGAAGATTTTCAAAGAATTAATGCCTTTTCACTATATAATCAATAGAGCCCCACCCTAACACCAGAATCCCTGACCCTGGGGCCATGAAATTCATAATTTCAGAAGAGGCACTCTTGCTCATCATAAATATGTACTAACTTAGTTCATTTAATATCCAGGAGCAGATAAGAAGATTTTCAAAGAATTAATGCATTTTCACTATATAATCAATAGAGACCCGCCCTAACACCAGAACCCCTGACCCTGGGGCCATGAAATTCACAATTTTGGAAGAGGCACTCTTGCTCATCATAACTAAGTACTAAATTAGTTCATTTAATAACCAGGAGCAGATAAGAAGATTTTCAAAGAATTAATGCATTTTAACAATATAATCAATAGAGACCCGCCCTAACACCAGAACCCCTGACCCTGGGGCCATGAAATTCACAATTTTGGAAGAGGCACTCTTGCTCATCATAACTATGTACTAAATTAGTTCATTTAATACCCAGGAGCAGATAAGAAGATTTTCAAAGAATTAATGCATTTTAACTAATGTATATAATCAATAAAGCCCTGCCCTAACACCAGAACCCCTGACCCTGGGGCCATGAAATTCAAAATTTTGGAAGAGGCACTCTTGCTCATCATAAATATGTACTAAGTTACTTTATTTAATACCCAGGAGCAGAGAAGAAGATTTTCAAAGAATTAATACATTTTCACTATATACTCAATAGAGCCCTGCCCTAACACCAGAACCCCTGACCCAGGGGCCATGAAATTCACAATTTTGAAAGAGGCACTCTTGCTCATCATAACTATATACTTAGTAAATTTATTTAATACCCAGGAGCAGAGAAGAAGATTTTCAAAGAATTAATGCATTTTCTCTATATAATCAATAGAGCCCCGCCCTAACACCAGAACCCCTGATCCTGGGGCCATGAATTTCACAATTTTGAAAGAGGCACTCTTGTTCTTCATAACTATGTACTTAGTTACTTTATTTAATACCCAGGAGCAGAGAAGAAGATTTTCAAAGAAATAATGCACTTTCCCTATATGATCTATATAGCCCCACCCTAGCACCAGAACCCCTGTCCCTGGGGCCATGAATTTCACAATTTTGGTAGAGGACTCAATGCTTATTACAATGATGCCAACAGTTTGACTGCTTGATGTCCAGGAGTAAAGAAGAAGATTTTTAAAGATTGCATTATTTTTGGTGGTTTTAGCTCCACCCCTCAGGCCCCAGGGGAGCAGGGACCATGGAATTCACAATTTTTGTTCCCCTTCACCCATAGGTGCTATATGCCAAATTTGGTTGAAATTGGTTAAGCGGTTTCAGAGAAGAAGCTAAAAATGTTCAAATGTTAACACACGACGCACACCGCACGACGCACGCCGACGGACGAGAACGGATAGCAATAGGTCACCTGAGTGACTCAGGTGACCTAAAAATATATATGCCCCCACCCCCCAGGAGTGATTGTTTCCATATTGATATGACTAATCATGGCTTTGCTGTTCTTGAGAAGAAGATTTTTGAAGATTTTTTCTATATATTCCCATGTAAAACTTTTATTGCCTAATGTGGCCCAACCATACCCCAGAGCAGTGATGATTCTGTGAATTGGCCAAAATATCTGATTCAGAAATAGTTTGGAAGTCAAGGGGCTGATTAAATATGGGCTTTAGCAAGTCCAAAATAGGTTTAAATGAGGGACAAAAATTGAAGTGTAACAGTTTGTTCAACAACTTTCACATCTTGACCTGGCTGAATGAACCGCCACGCCATTGTAAGGAAGTCTCAATCATTCCTGCTTTCGTGTTTACCTTACTTGGAGATATAAGAAAACGTCTGGATGATGCAGATTAGATCTATTATAAACACGGACGAAACAACTTGAATTTTTTACCCGGACAAAAATGGAAATGGATCGCTGCAAAAATTTAAAGTATCGAAATCACTCGTAAATATCGGATTCTTGGATTCAAATTAGCGGAATTCCGCTAAATATCGGAAGAGAATCATCACTGCCCAGAGGTTCATGATTTGAACAAACTTAAATCCACACAACCTGACAATCCTTTTGAATATGAATAGAATCATGGCTATGCTGTCCTTAGAAGAATTAATGATATTTCCTACATCTTCCTATGTATAACTTGGGGTAATGATTTGAATAAATTTCAAACTACACTACCTAAATATCCTTCTATATTACTATGACTATTCATGGGTTTGCTACATTCTTGAGAAGAAGATTTTTCCAACATCTTTCTATGTATAACTTTCATTCCCTCTTGTGGTCCCTACTTACCCCTTAGGGGTCATTAATACTGAACAAACTTGAAGCTACACTACCTAAGGATGTTTCAATGTTTATTTAATATGATTAATCATGGCTTTGCTGGCCATAAAAAAGATATATAAAAAGATTTTATATTTCCTACATATTTCTATGCATAACTTTGATCACATCCCTGTTGTGTCCCCATCCTACACCTAGGGGACATGATTTGGAAAAATAATGAATTTACACTATCTTAGGATGATTCTGTATCATTATGATGACTTTTCTGATCATGAGAAAATGATTTTAAAAAGACTTTCCAATATATTCCTGTTTATAACTTTGGTCTGCTGTTGTGGCCCTACCTTTTCCCCAGGTGTCATGATTTGAACAAACTTGAATCACTACCTGAGGATGTTTCTGTTTGAATATGACTAATCATGGCTTAATTTTGCTGTTCTTGAGAAGATTTTTTAAGATATTTCCTATATATTCCCATGTATAACTATGATCCCCTGTTGCGATTTCACCCTACCCCAGGGGGTCATGATTTAAACAAACTCGAATCTACACTACGTAATGATGCCTTCATATAAGTTTAATCTTATCTGGCCCAGTGGTTCTTGAGAAGGTTTTTAAAGATGCCATTAAAATTTGACTAATTCTAAATTATCTCCTTTTGAAAAAAGGCATTGCCCCTTATATGAATAACCTTGAATTCCCTTTACCCAAGAATGCCTTGTGGCAAGTTTAGTTGAAAGTGGCCAAGTGGTTCTGGTGAAGATAAAATTCTGAAAAGTTTTCAATGACACCAATGACAACATGGCATCCAGAAGGAAAGATCTAGAGGAAAGTAGGCTGGCCGAAAACAACTTGGAGAAGAACCACAGAACAAGAAAGATTACAGTTGGGATGGAATAGCTGGGCATCAGCAAGGGCAGCAGCCAAAGACAGAGGCAGGTGGAGCCAGTGTATTTGGGGCCTTATGTGCCAGCAGACACGAAGAGAATAGGTGAGGTGAGGTAATGACAACATGGACAACAACAACGACAATACCAACAACGCCAGACAACAGACAAATTCTGATCAGAAAAGCTCACTTGAGCCTTTGGCACAGTTGAGCTTAAAATGTTTCCAGGAGTGGATCAATATTAAAAATTTCATTACCAGATATAGCAGTATACAGGTATCACCAACACTTAAAAGTTCATTATTATCATACCTTGTCTTCTTCATTTTCACACTCAGAGTCATCTGTACTTAGTTCATCAATTTCTGGACTGCCATGACCAAATGACCCACTTTCTGACTGACTACTGAACACACTGACCACACTAACTGGACGGTCAGTGTCTAAGTTAATGATGGATGTTGATGCTGAGAAATTGGTGTTGTAGGTTCGAGGTGGAAGATCAGGTGGAGAGGGAGATTTTTCTTTGTGGAGAGCGGAGTCAGATGGTGGATTAATCAAATCCTCAGGGATGTAATGATATTCATGAGAGTCAACATTACTTGAGTCATCATCACTGTGAGTAGGGGCTGAAAAAGAACCTTGGTGAATATTGTTAGTGGAAATGCCATGTGGATTAGGAACATCCTCTGAAGAATCTTTAGTAGTTTTGGGGATGGGACTAGCAGAAGGTGGAGGTGGTGGTGCTTTTCTTGAGGGACGAAGTTGGCGTTTTGTGTTTTGCAAATTTGTTAGAGAGTGAGTATTTTCAGAACCTTGAGAAGACTTCTGACTTTCTGGACTTAGTGAAGTCTCTAATTCTCTCCTATGATCTGCCAAAGCTATTTCCCTCAACAGAGCATGCTGGTTGGCTGGAACACAGAAATCAACAGTCAAACTTCTACCTTTGCCAGCATTCCTACCTTGAGCTTTTCTAGGTGGTAAAACAGGATTTTTCTTTTCCCCATCATCATCACTGATATCAATACTAATTCCTTTATTGCACATATCCAGTCCTTGTGGCCGGATTCCAGAAATATCCGACTGACTCCTAGTAACGTTTTTGTTGATTTTGTGTCTCTTAGGCTTGGGTGGTTGCACCTTTTTACCACTTGGAAGTGGCATGTCATTTAATGATGTGGACGAACCCCTGAAATCAGAACCAGGCTGATTTGAGTCTGAACACATGGATGGAACCTCCCCCATGGAGGACTTTCTCCTAGATTCTCTCTTTGGACGAGGTGGTCTGATTGGCACATCTGTGGTTTTCTCAGAAGAAACATCTTCAGGTGAATTCTCAAGACTGTTCATCCTCTTTGTGACAATTTTCTCAATTTCATCTAAAAGTGATGAAGTTTCTGGAAGGTCTGCCTCCACATCTAACACAGATTTGTTGAACTCACTGTCCAAACCTTTCATGGTGATAGGTTTATCCTCTGCAATGGGAGATAGCATTTTTTGTGTTGTACTTTCATCAGATTGGACATTACACATACTGCTATCTTGTGGAGTCACACTTGTTAAATCCAAACCTTGCTTCACATAGTCTTGGAAACTCTGATGAGTTATTTCCTTAGAGTCTGAAGTATCACATATTATATTCGATGGGTTTATAACCTCTTCTTTACATGTTTTCTTCTCAGCATCACTTTCTGTTTTGCTAATACTTTTCTGTGAATTTTCAGCCACTGATTCTGAGGACTCCATCCCAGAAACACTAACTTCTTCTCTGAGTTCTGACAATAATCCTTGATCCTTTGAATTATTATCCACAATGTTTTTCTCTTTTTCCACATTACTTTCAATAAAGTCTTTCACTTTTTCCACACTATCTTCAGTGAAGTCTTTCACATTTTCCACATTACATTTAGTAAAAACTTCCACTTTTTCCACACTACCTTCAGTGGAGACTTTCATTTTTTCCAAATTATCTTCTTCATTGGTGTCTATGACTTTCTCCACACTACATTTAGTGGAATCTTTCACATCAGCTTCAGGTTGCAATGAACTCTCTGTTTCTTTCTCAGAAGCATCCTTTGAATCACTAGCACCACTTTTCTTTTCTTCTCCTGTTGCTTCACCTCTCTTTCTTGGACTGGGAGTAACGGATTTTCTAGGCTTTGGCATTGGCCTGGGCCTAGGAGAAGGCGTTTTATAACAACTGAGATTTCTAGGGCTTGTTGGTAATTTGGCATTTTCAAAATTTCCATTTATATCTTGTGTTGAAGTACCATTCTCCACTTCCACAGAAAGCAATGTTAAAGATTCCTTCACTTTTGAATCTACACATAGTGATGGACACTCTGAGTTTATTAACTGAGTTGATATGTTTTCAAGTTTTGGTTGAGAATCAACAGAACTAGAGATAACCTTTTGACCTCCAGCTCTCTTAGAACTCACTTTTGGAGGAACTTTTGGTGGAGTTTTGATGGGTTTCTTAACTGACTTTGTGCTAGAATTTTCCATCCCAGACACAGTTCCTTTAGGGTTTATCAGTGTTTCTGTGTTGGTATTGCTAATGGATCTTGCACTTTTACCAGGATCCTGGTTATGTGACTGTACAGAAGAGGAAGATATGGTCACTGAATCCTCAGATGCTACATAAAAGCAGCTTTGGCCTAAATGAGTTTCCTCATCATTACATTCATCATCATAAAATGTGCTCTTTGAGTCAGGAACCTTAGCCTTTCTGACCACGTTGGGAGAATTAGAATTTGAAGCTTTCGGACTGCAATTTTTATTCACACTTGAATTGGAAGATGTTCTTGGTAGCCTTGGCCTAGGAGATTTGGAAAAAATTTGAGTTTGGGGGAGTTTTGTTAAATCTTCATTCGACAATGATGATGTATTTTGATTTAAGTCACAAATGCTATTGGTAAAATATGATTGGTCAACATTAAGTAAGGATGAATTTGATTCGTCAAAAGACCCATTTAAGGTGGTTTCAATGACATTTGATATGCAGTTGTCATTTGCTGGTGCACATTTTGTGATGGATTTGTGCTCTGATGTGCTGAGTGCTGTGCTGTCAGTTGTGCATTCTGCTTTTCTTTCACCACAATTAGGAGGAGTTTTAGGTAGGGGTGGAGGGATTTTCTGTGGCTTAGCATCTAAAACAGACATCATTCCATTTTTAAATTTCTGTTCATTATCATTAGCAGGACTGCTGCTACTTACCAAATTAAAAGGTAACTTGCATTAAAAATTTGTAAAAAGTAAATATCACAAACTTTGCAATAACTGAACAATGAACAAAACCAACAATGAGCATTTTTCACAAAATCTGTAGAAAATGTTTTTCATTTATGAAAAAAAAATCCATTATTATACAATAAAGTACACCCTCTTGCTATGCTAGATTGAAAATTCTGATATTTTTTACTGTAACAATGAATCACCTTTCTTGGGAGAGGCACTCAGCGACCGCGTAAGGTTTGCAGGTTTTTGACTGATCGATGGCTTCTTTGGCACAGGTGGCTTGCATCTTGGGAGTCTGCAAGAAAAAAACAACATATATTTGTTTTCACTACAAATGACAGATCCAGACAGCAGAAATTGCTCTCTGCTTTTATTTTCTTAGATATTTTATTTCCTTTCAACGAGGAGAAGTAAACATTTATATTTTCTTAAAGAAATCCTCTTTGTCTAGGCTGAGAGCTCTAAGGAAAACCTTAACTAAACAAATCAAAGATCAGGTAATTAATTTCTCTGGGTGTTACCCTACAGTTGAGAATGGAAGCCCATATGACTCTTATGTTCACCTGTTGCAAAACTGTTAAGAACATATGGTCATATATACACTTCAAATGAAAACCTTTTTTAACCACCTCACACCCGCACCCCTTTATTCGTTAAAATGACAGAAAACCTATCAATACACATACTGAAAATTATGGGTAAAGGACATGACTGCCTAATTTAAGAACCAATCATGTTAATTGAACTAGATCTTATCAATTCAAAAGCTGACGTCGACAACTAAATGGAGGTATAAATCAATGTACATGTATGCATTTGAATTTGTAATATCCATGTCGGAAAAAGAATGTACTTTCTGATAAACAAATAATAATTTTCTTAAATGACTCAGCAGTCATGAAGATAATTTATGCACTGCTAATTAAGATATGGGGGAATTGAAAACTTTTATCTCTGAGATAAGTATGATAACAGAGGCATGGCACCAGGTGCATTACCAGACATTTCTATCCAAACAGAACCCAGCGGGATTAAATACACATCTCAGTTAACTCACTGACAGTGACCTCCCTAGCAAATCATTTTTCCTCCCCAGGAGATCTGAGCAGAAGTCCTTGTACCCATGGCTTTTCATTCAACAAACATGATGCAGAGATAGTCATCATGGAGAAAAATATGTCATTACTTACAATATAAGTTTAAAAGCATAGACTTAATTTGCTACCATGGGTTGTGAAAAACTTTTCTACATATACATTTACATTTATATAAACATACAAATGAATACTTTGTGTATACAAATAAATGCATATTGACATTATAACACTGTTATACAGGTATGCAATTTGTTATTTTTTTTAAATATTCAATTAACTGTTTCCAAAGAAAAGATAAAATCCTTCTCTTATTCCTCTTTTTTTTTTTAAATTGATGTTAATTTATTTTATTGTTTCTATTTTGAATGCTTACTACATTTTGTTTTTTAAATAAATCACTTAATTTTTTTAAAAAATACATTTTATGCAATAAAAATTTTAAGTGAATTGATATATGTTTTTGACCTGTTCATTAAAACCCATTTCCTTTCCTACTTCAAAAATTAATAAATCATTCATATTTAGCCGTATTACTTGAGCATAAACACTAAAACCATAACACGCTTAAGGTATGTTGTACACACAGACCAAAGTAAAATATCTTGTTACTGTCCTATCTAAAATGACAAAGCTTTGGTCTAAAACAAGGATCTGTAAAATATGGAAAATGCTTTTGTCTTGTTTGATTGCAATTACTCATACTTTTATGTCCAATAAGTTTTTATGTGTATTTTATTACCCCCCCTCCCAAAAAAGTTCAGGGGGGGGGGGGGTTATATAGTGATGGAGGTGTCCATACGTACATCCATAACGCTTGGGCTGGTAGCCATCCCTTATCCAAAACTCCTTTTACACAACTGAATGCAATTTAATCATGTCAACTTTCACAATTTTTTTTACTTCACAGTGGAATTGTGAATCTCCTATTTTAAATTTTGTTCATGCACACACAATATTTGCAGTGGCGGATTTAAGGGGGGCGCACCCGGCGCGCGCCCCCCCTAAAACTGTCAAAGTTAGCGTAAATCATAGTTTTGCCACGAAAATGTAAAAATGTCTACTTGGTAGACCTCATTTTTACCCTACAAAATCTCTAGAATCCAGGAGCTTCCGGGGGCTTCGCCCTCTGGGCCCCCACCAGGGCTTTGCCCTGGACCCACTGGGGGCCTCAAAGCGGCCCCCAGACCCCCTGCCTACTTTCTGCGCCCCCCTAACTTCAATTCCTGGATCCGCGCCTGATTTGGGATTTTACATTGCAAAATATGGATTATCCACCATTCCTTCTATAATATTTGAGGTCCCATCTCTTATCCCCAACTCCCCCTACACCACTGAATAAAATTAAAATGACACTTCACTACATCTTTATTGCATAGTGCCATTGTGCACATTTATAACATAATGCCATTGTGCAAGTATTTCATGCAGACAGATATTTGGGGTTTCCTATGGCAAAACATTCACTTTGGCATTATACATGTAGTACAAATGTAATTTGGTTATCATTTTGTGACTCAGTGCTCACAGTACCTCTAGTTTAAATTCTAAATTTGAAGAATTAATAAATGAATTGCATTGAAAAGCACAATGAATTCAGGCTTAGTGTTTTTCTTCCTCTTTTAATAATTCCAACCAACCTGATCAATGATATCAAATTGTTATTAATTTCTGTCCACCCTCTAAACATGAAACTTTCATATGACACATTCTTGGAAATGTCCTATTTATTGAAAACTTATAGTAAGCATTTTCCTTTGTTTCTCCAAGGAAAAACCCAGGGATATTCATTCACAACATTTGAGAAACCTGAGACTTTATGTCATGTCTATTTTAAGAGACTATACTCACTTATCATCATTGGCATCAGTCTGAGTCACTGGGCCAGGGTCTACAACAAAAAGAAATAAATATTTAATGATGGAATTGTACAATAGCACCAACTAATGCTTGTGCAGGCCGGTTCCCATTTCAATTGCACAAATACAATTTTTTTGAATTATTCTGCAAGAACACTTTTTTGTCAATTCTGTTCATTATGTCATTTCTATAGCCCTCCATTAATTCATCAAAACCAACTTTTTAGACACTAGACACACCTTGGCCAATTCTGACCTCATCTATTGATGAAGACACTAGAATTACCTGAGGTTTCCCAATGCTTTTTAGAGTAACTCAGATTTTTAGTCTCTCAGATACAACTGTTACAAAACATACCTAATCAGAAAGCACCTGCAAAAGTGCTCAAAAAATCCTTTTGAAATAATTCAACCTTCACACCATATGTATCTATTTGTTTTTGAAATTTTCAAGTTTTTATACAATTAGCTACATTTTATCAAAACTGCACCAGGTGCTACAAATCGTAAAATCTATCAAGTAAAACAACACCATAGATATAACCGCCATGTTTTTCTTCTTCACTGTAACAAATGACTTTTAATGCCTTTATAAAAAAAAAACTGAAGAATTTTATCTGGTTGAAGCAAATTTACAGATTGATTCCCAGGGCATCTATAAATAAATTTCAGTCTATATCTGACACAAGTTTGTAGATAATTGCCACATGATCTACTGAGCTAATTGCAGACACCTTGATTTTATGTAAACCATGTAAACATACAACGTAACTTTATACAGGCCAAGTCCTTTTTATATAAACAGTAATCAAAGCAAATTTTATAAAACATCTGGAATAGATATATCATTCTTGTAAATATGTGCAATATGTGTGTGTATCTGCATAAATTATCAACAAAAAATCCATTAGAATGTATGCATACAGTATCATACCCCAATCCCTCTCTGAAGGAATGTACAGTTGAACTTCAGTATCTCAAACACAGATATCTCGAATACCAGGGATATGTCGAAGGGATTTGGAAGTCCCATTATCACTTATTCTTTAAGATTTTACTTTCAATATCTCGAATCCTTGGATATCTTGAAGTTTTATTCTTTTTCCCATCAAGTCCGAGATAACGAGGTTTGACTGTATGTTTATTTGATTTTTACTTTATACATGCTGCACATTGTGCCAAATGAATAAATGACTGTGCATCATAATCATTGTACCATAATATAGAACCCTGTAAAATGTTAATTAATTAAGAAAACAAACAAAGTAGCTAATGATATTTACCATTTGTACTGAAAACCTAATGGATGTTTAGTATATATTTTAAGTGCAGTCATTTAATGACTATGCTGCATGACTGTAAATTACAATACAGTTTCACACTGTTAACTTATAGTACAACTGACATAAAAGATCTTGCACATAAACATACAATTTAAAATCATTTTTTACCTTTCTGAGTGCACACTTGGTTCACTATGCTCAGAGAGTTCTTCATCCCAGAGAATTTTTATTCTTTCAACTTGCTCATGAATCCAAAAATGTTGACTAACTCCTAACTTATGAATGAACTCCAGTAAAAATAATGTCTTTATATTCTCATACTTAAGAACAAACAATTTCCTCTGACAACAAATCGAAACAAGCATCAGAAGCCAATGTTTTGCAGATCTCTAACCCTGGCACTTAAGAAAAATGAAAGAAAAGTCAAGTGTGTTTTCTGCGCGCACAGTCCCCATCACTGGAGCGAAAATGAATAAAATCACTTTGCAGAGCATGTGAAGATAAAGTGGTAAAAAAAAGCTATGTTTTGACAATAGCATTGAGCATGATTCATAGAGTAATCCAAAGTATAAAAGGCAATCTCCTCTCTTAAACACTTCCTCTACTTTTATAAATAATCATTGTTTCTCTCTATAAACTACTTATGCGACTGACATAGTTAGTTTGCCCTACTTCTAACAGTGTGTATATTTCTCTGTCAGTGACTATCATTTTTGCTGTCACTAACCCTGCAGGTCAGCTAGTGATTGCTGTGGAATGGATCAAGTCTTGAACTGACAATAGCTTTTACTGTTGTAGATAAGCTAAAAGAATTTTTCAAAGGAAATGAAACTAGAAGGTTGTGGAATTACATTTTGGGGGGGGGGGGGGGGGGGTCCTCTTAAGGTTCACTGACCCTTTGATAAGAGAGACAACTCTAACTGGTAAAAAGGTCTATTATTCTTTTATACACTGTATAAAATTGTCAAGTTAAAAAGGCCATTTCTGTCAAATTTTGCACTGCAAGCTATGCAGAAATTGTTTGCATTTTGCCCATATCGAAAATGAATACAAAAATAATACAAGAAAAAAATACTAAAATAATACAAAAAAAGTATATTTTTAATGACCAAATTTGGAACCCTCTAAATCTTGGTTCCAATTTAGGTCAAAAATAATAGACTTTTTAAAAGCCAATCACAGAAAAATATATTTTTAATATACTTTATTTTTTCGAAATAATACAGAAATGATACACATGACCTGTAAAAATGTATTGTTTTTGTACTTTTGTATTATTTCTCTATTTTCCTCTCCAAAGTATAAAAATAATACAGTCCATAGAAAAGTATAGAAAAAATACAGAATGTATTAATTTTGTATTAGCATATATTATTTTTGTATTTTTTCACCTTTTAGAATTAAAATACAAAAAAAATATAGAATATATTAATTTTGTATCACATATATTATTTTTGTATTTTTTCATCTGGAACAATTAAAAATACAAAAAAGATATAAAATATGAAAATAATACAGTACACGTAAAAGTATGAAAAAAATATAGAATGTATTAATTTTGTATTAATATGTATTGTTTTTGTATTTTTATCAGCATGAAGGATTGTATTTCAAAAATATCAAAAAAGTACAAGAATGATAGACAAAAAATACATTTAAATGCTTAAAATAATACAAAACAGAGTTTTAAAAACTACTAAAATGATCATGGGCAAAAATTGTTATTTGAAGAAAAGGGGTTGGAGATTAAGGTTCTTAATAGCATCTATTGATTGTTATTCAAAAATCTTTTATTTATTTGAAATATTTGTTAAATAACAATTTTAGTAACTCAGATTACCTTAAATGTACAAATAGCTAATTAAAAAGTAATTAATGTGGCTAGGCTACTGATTCAGCTACCAACTGTAGTCTTGATCTTTCTTTTTACATGTAATCTGCTCTTCAACAGTCTTGATATTTTTCACAAATTTAACTAATCCTGTTTTCTTTGTACTTTTACCAAATGTTTCGATCTCTCTGCTTTGCTGTTTCTTTTGTATGGAAAAGGTAGAGGAGTGTTTACTTTGTTGCAGAAGTCCATCTTCAAATCACACAACCTGTCATCTCATCTGACTTCATCACTGTGAAATATAGAACAGAATGATATAATAATAAAATTTAATGAACCATTATCTCAACAAAACACACATTTTAACATTCAAAATAATTCTATATAGATTTTGTTTAGCTCACACACCTGCAATACTTTCTTGAGAGGGATTTTCTTCCTCCATGACTTGTCAGCTTTTCTTCAATGTTCGGCTGACTGAAATTAACAATAATTATAAATTGAAATTCCAAAAGATCCAGCGGAGTTCACCAAATTCCATACAATTGTACCATTGAAATTACTTTTCTTTAATCTGGGGTTTCTTAGGGGACAACCATTTGATTTGACAATCTGGAGAAGAAAAGGGGGGCTGATTTATAAAATATTTTTAAAAAAATATTTGTAATAAACAATCTGTCCTTGAAAATGTTGAAAGAGTAAACAAAATGTGTGCCCCAATGTTATTTAAATAAACTGCCCCCCCTCCCGAACCCAACCTACCCCCCCCCCCCCCGAAAAAATTTGAGTTTATACAAATTACAGAATTGTTTTTGAAGGGAAAATAAATAATTCGTCTCTGGTAAACTTGAAAAAATTGGAATGAATTAGAACTAGGAAGCCAAAGGCTTGAAAATTACCCCCATCTTCCACCCCTCCCTCCCCAATCAGAATTTATCACAAAAACCCTTGTTCCCCACATGGCCAATAACCGTACTATTTTATCTTTCTACAATACTACAAAATGGGTAAAAAAGGCAGTCTTTGTTCCTCTATCTTTGTACTAAGTTATTATTTAAAAAACTGAAACTTTAATGTGCTAAAATATATATAATCTTACCGCAACTGTCGTTGTTTACACCAGAAAAGTCCGGATATGATGCCTAAAAAACGTCAGTCTCCTTATGTATTTGCTCTTCTTGGTTCATATATATGATCCTGTGTACCATGATTATGCTGAACTTCTGTTTTTCGATCCATTTTACTCGCGAGCAAATGAGAGTTTATTCAAAATCACCTCCAGCTTTCTCTACACGTCCCGGGAAGAATTTTCAAAATGGCGTGGGTGAAATATTGTTGACCAATCAGAGAACAGCACGGAAGAGTTTTAAAATCTGACCAATCATATTGTGTCATATATACGAAAATTACCGATGTTGAGATCGGAACAGTTAGAGAAAACATATTTACATGGTTTTAAATATCTTGAATCAATTGAATAAACCTAAAATTATGTTAGAAAAAACGATGTTCAATTTAATCATCAGAATCATTTTTTTATTCCTTACGGAATTTACCGATTACGAAACATCGTTATTTCCGGTCATCATTTCCGCTGAGAGCAGCCATTTTTATATTCAAGTTGACCTGTGAAGTAGACCATAAAGTTCAAATATAATGATCAAAACGAGCGGGAGATACATAATATATAGCCTTTTTGACGGACAACTTAACTCATACATACGGTACCAGAGATTGAAATAATGTTTAACAACTATCCTTTACACCAATTTCACAACATTTTCTATATTATTTTATGAAATTCTTTCTTAATAATTTCTTCTTTTTTTTAAAAAGTGGATAATTAAATAGTTCTATTCCATGTAATTGTAATACGTAATGAATTAAATATAATGTATACTAAATTGAGTTGTATAGTCAAGAAAACATCGTAGGTACTGTAATTAGTGGAACTCTCCATGTTGTTTGTTTTTGTTTTGGTTGGGATGTGTTTTCACGGGTAAATCATGTTATTTCTTTGAGTAGTATAACATGTACTCGTCTATTGTTAGCCTGCAGGTGGCCACCTGTGCTGTTGGCGATAGTTGTAAACACTCGGTTGTAAACACGCTGTAAAATTTTCAACACAAAAAGAAAGTCTGAAGCTCTGAAACTTCAAAATTTACCGCGTGTTTACAAGTATCATGTACAGCACAGGTGTCCCCTCAGACGTATCTATCTCTTTCCAAATGACAATTTCACACCTAGTAAAGACATGTTTTAAAAATGAAATTGTTTAGTTAACAAATTTAAACTACTGAAGTTTTCTGTTCTAAATAGCAATTAAATGTAAATAGTATAAAAGCAACCTTTATAGCAGTGGTCTTAATTAATAAAATCTGAGAAAAAATATTAATTCCAACAGACTTATTGCAAGGACATTCTGTAAATTTTCCTAAGTTCAAAGAAATACAAATTTCAGTAAAAGAAAACACTAAGTCCAAAATAAATATAAAAAAAATACATACTGACTGTATAGTATTTTTTGAAAAATTATTAAGTCCAAATTTAATACAAAAATAATACAAACTAACTGTATGTAATTTTCTGTAAAATTACTAAGTTCAATTTTAATACAAAAATAATACAGATTAACTGTATGTAATTTTCTGTAAAATTACTAAGTTCAATTTTAATACAGAAAAAATACACTTGAAAAAAACTAAGTCCACAAAAATACAAAAATGATATACTGAAAATAATCTAAGTCCCAAAAAATACAAAAATAATACCCTGTAAAAAATCAAAGTCAGATTTTAATACAAAAATAATCTACCTATTTGTTGGTGATACAAAAATAATATATTTTTTCTGTATTAATTTTAAACAATACGAAAATGATTGTATTAAAAATATATTAAAAATATACTTTTATGTATTATTTTTTGATATGGGTTACATCATCTCTTTGAAAATCATAAGCATTAAAGCAAAATTTTGCAAGAGTGTAAAGAGGGATAATGAACCTATGTTTTTTTTTTTTTTTTAAATTTTTTTTATGAACACAGAATATATCTATCTATATATCTATATCTATCTATCTATCTATCTATCTATCTATCTATCTATCTATATATATATATATATATATATATATATATATATATATATATATATATATATATATATATATATATATATATATATATATATATATATATATATATGTATTGCATATAGTCAGGAGATATATTCCATTGTCTAGTCAGTCTGAAAAGTCAAAGTAAATTTTCTAGTACATGTGAACTAGCAATATCAGTCAACTGAAACAAAACTGCAACAGTCAAGTAAACAATTTAAACTCTGTCAGGAGTGAAAAATTTCTTGTCCTCTAGCAATTTAGC